TGGGACAACCATAGAGAAGTTGTTCTGGTCCTCCCTTTCCCTGTGTTCCTTCCAGAGCTCCTGGCTTTTCATTCAGCCATCGGCATCTGGTCGTGTCTGAGTATCTGTCTCCCATCAGTGCTGGGTTCTCAAGGGAGGAATCCAGTCCAGTCCAGAGCACTGAGACCTCCCTACGCTGAGCCTCTCTGTTTCCAGCCCTCCCTCTCTTCCAGCAAAGGCTGCCTTAGAAGTCTCCACCACTGACAGAACTTAAGATTTCATTGAACTGCAATGTCATTCTTCTATGAGTATACCGTTTTGCAATTTCTTGCCAGGGTGGATGATTCATTCATGTACTAGAAACGAGTAAAATCCATAGAGAAAATTACGTGCGATAACCTTACGGAATCTGTGTTTGCTGCACCAAATGCATGGTCTTTGGTAACAATTCACTGGCAGTGTGAAACCAGGTGCATGAGAGAGGAGGAGTAGGAGGAGAGAGAGAGGAGAGAGGGAGAGGAGAGAGAACTGTGTGGGGTATGAAGTCTGAATACAGTTTCACCTGCTGAGAGAGACAGAGACAGAGAGACAGAGACAGACAGAGATAGAGACAGAGAGAGAGAGGGAGGGAGGGAGGGAAGGAGGGAGGGAGGGAACTGTGTGGGGGTATGAAGTCTGAATACAGTCTCATCTGCCTGCTGCTTGTAGCCTTGATGCCCTTGGTGTTCCTTCCTGGGTTCCCAGACATCTGCTGCACACCGGGCAATTCTATGCAATTTCACATCACTAGAGACAGTATTCCTACCACGAGGCAGTCCTTCATGGATTGGGTCTCGGGTGCTGCTCACACTCTAGCCATGCACTGGGCAGTCTGGATACTGACCTGGCCCCTGTGAGGACCTTTCTGGTGTTAGTGAGCCCACACTTGGCCACCTGTGTTAATGGTCTGCACAGACTCTGGGCCTGGGAGATTTCTACCACACTGAAGTCTGCATGGTCTGGGTCAGTTTCCTTCCTTACTGTGTGTGGGAACCCTGCCAGGTCCCAGCACATATTCCCATGCAATGCTCCGACTGTCCCCGGAGTGCAGTCACTGGAGGGTCTGGGGCTAACAAGCCACCAGCTTAGCAGAAGTCTCTGAAAAATGGCACTTGGCCACTGCTCTGGTTGGGTACTGAAGGGAGATGGTTTTCCAGTATCTCTCCTGCTCTCCTGCTGTGGCTGTTTGCAACTTTTGTTTCCCTTGCTCCCTCTCTCCCACCTTAAAATATCTGTTACTGAGAGAGCAATGAAGATTTTCAGGGAGCTTCTGTCTTTCCCATAGCTCTGGTCCCTTCTACTAGGAGAAGGTGCTCTCTAGACCCACCAAATCCCTCCTTCGTGAACTCGTGACTTTTTTATAGTGGTATATTATTTGTGTTTTAATAAATAAAAGCTTGCCTAAAGATCAGAATGCAAAGCAGCCACACTGGTTAGCCATAGAGGCCAGGCAGTGATGGTGCACGCCTTTAACCCCAGCAGCCACACTAGTTAGCCATGGAGGCTGGGCAGTGGTGGTGCACGCCTTTAACCCCAGCAGTAGAGAGGAATATAAAATGGGAGGAGATAGGTCTCAGCTCAGTCTCATTGTGAGATTCCTGGAAGCAAGGATCGCCCATTCAGTCTGAAGTAAAGTAACAGCCAGTGGCTGGCCGCATTGCTTTTCTGATCTGTCTCTGGGTTTTCATTATTAGTGCTACACTTTTTCCTTCTGCCTTGTAAAGTTTTATTTCATAGTTTGATGACACGCTAAAGGATTCTAGCCATCACTCACAGCTTCTGATAGTTTTGTCCAAATCACCCCAACTATTCCTGGCAGATTTTCTTGTGTGCCCGTGCGGCGTGTGCCAGCCCCATCAGGTTTTGTTGCGTACTCTGCCGAGTTAGACCTGTCCTCAGCACTGCTCACGAGCCTGGGGTCACTCTCCTTTGTGTGTCCCTTGTCTCTGACAGCAGCAGAGGATGTTTCTGTCTGTCACTGCTTCACATGAAGGAACCGGAACACAGGACTCTTTGTGGTGCTGACGACAGAATTCTTCGGGGGTCAAAACCTGGTTTCTGACAGCCCTAATAAGCTAGTCATGGCCACACACTTACAATAAGCCTATTGAAGTGGTGAGGACAGAGCAAAGGAGAAAAAGGAGATTAGGGAACAGGGAAGAGGGCCAAAGAGCTCAGTGACCCCCGGATGCCCACCAAGTTCATCTTTCGGATCCTGGCATGCGGTTTAGTTTAAGTACGTGACAGGAGGACCTTGCCCTGTCTGTTCTCTAACATTTCCTCTAATTTATTTATTTGTTTATTTATTTTTGCTATGTAAACTAGAGATTTCTGGTCATCACTCACCTCTCCTGATGGCTGTTGTCCAACTTCCCCCAGTACGTTCTCTGGAGATTCTATCAGACTGTGCATGTGTGTTCCCCTCCATCACGGATCTTCACGGCCAAGGCCTCCTGCCTCCACCTCCCAAGTGTGCTGACCTGGGTTGCCATGACACCCACACCACTGTCTATCTATCCATGTCTAGAAAAGAGTGTAGTAATTTATCAGATGAGACTTGTAGACAGAAATATAAAAATTACTATGTGAATTTTGTTGTTGTTCTTTTGAGAAAACAATCTCCTGTAACTCAGGAAAGCCTTGACCTCTTCTGCTTCCCAAGTGCTAGGATAACGGCATGCCCCATCCTGCCCGGTTTCACTGGAAGGACTCGGCTAATACATTATTAGAGAATATTTTTAATGCAAACGATAAAATGGCCTGGGGAAGTGTAATAGCCTTATGTTCATGGAATTCATGCCAATTTAAAAGAATCAAAGAGAACTTAGAATTCCATAGACTTCCATACTTAAATATGGCCAAGTTCTCAACAATGACCTAACCATACCCCTCTAGATCAGCAGTTCTCACCCTGTGGACTGTGACCTTTGGCAAACTTCTATCTCCAAAAATATGCAATTTATAACAGGAGCAAAATTGCAGTTATGGATCAGCAAGGAAAACAGTTTTATGGTTAAGGGTCACCAAAACAAGATGAACCATACTAAGGGGCACAGCATTCAGAAGGTTGAGGACCACTGCTCTAATCTGTTGACTAACTTTTGCCAGCAGCAGAGGGAAGGCCATAAATAAGAGATCAGAAAACACGTTGTCACTAAGGAATCTCCAGAAGCTTGTTCCAAGCTCTGTAATGGAAAACCTCAGCTCCAGCCAGATCGCCGGAGGCAGAGTGCTGAAAGGACATCTCAGCCAGCCCCGTGACCTGAGCCGCTGACCAGGACTGAACTCAGAGGCACCACTGCAGATGGCAGGAACAGTGGTTCTTGCTAACTTCATAGAACTGTACACCAGCCAGTCTACACTCCCCTCGTTCACAAGAAGTGGGCCTCCTCCCAGGAAGCTGAAAACAGAAACCGCCTTGCTAAGCAACTTCTCAAACTGTTGCACCTGCGTCCCCTGCGCCACACAGCTGGTGGAGCCCTTCTTCCCGCCCGCTCTGCACTCCTTCGCATCATAGTTAGAGGTGCATTGTCTTCCTCCTCCACCCGGAAAAGTGTAAACGTTAATTCATCGCCCACCAACCCTTCCCTAGACGACTCCAACAAAGATAAAATCTAAGCTCTCAAGATAGCACTTGATCTCTTCACCATCAGTTAAGACTTCTTAAGGCTTCCAAAAGCTTTCTATGAAATGTGTGACCAGATTAAAGACTGAGTTTTTGATTACTAGTACCTAAAGGAGTTGGTCAAAGAAGCCCTACTTTAAAGTAAGATTCATTCACATAGCATCCAGTCAATACACAAGACCCCCTCTGCGCGTGGATGAGGAGGACTCAGTGTTGTTTCGAGTCCACAGTGTAAAGAATCTTGAGAAAGTACCGCCTGTCCCAATTTGGTGACATATCAATGAGAAAAAAAAAAATCACAATTAGCCCACTTTGTTGGTGCATTGCTTTAATCCCAGGAATGTAGAGCCAGGAGCAGGCCGATCGCTGAGTTCTAGGTCATTCTGGTCTACACAGCCACTTCCAGGCCAGCCAGGGCTTCACACTGGGACCCTGCCTCAAAAGAAAACTACAGTTATTTGAAGATGTTCATGAGACCATTTCTGCTGGGCCTGGGGAGATGGTTCAGCCATGAAGTGCCCTTGCTGCCCTTGCAGAGGACCTGAATTGATTTCCCAGCACAAGTCCCTGGAACTCCAGCTCCAGGGTTTCCCAAAGCCTCTTCTGGGTCTTGTGAATTCATACTCCTTGCATATACACAGAGACACACAAAAATACATACAAATAAACGGGAATCTTAACATTGTTTCTCCTAAAAATATGCCTGTGAGACTGTATTTTTCTGCAATTCAAAGGAAACAAAACTGTTACAAAGGAAACACAAACCCCACACCATTTGTAGTGGGAAGGATGAAGATGAGGATGACGAGATGTCAAAAAGCCGACAAGACCTTTGCACAGCATCATTCCATTTTGGAAAACAGTTCTTTCTCTGTTTATTCTACTTACTTGAAATCGGCTGTTAATGTCCACGCTGAATCAAATGTCTCAAACCCTCTCATTCCTAACGGCAAACATGAATTGGTGTAATCCACAGGTGTACAGTCCCCATTGATGGCTACACCATGTCTAAGCCGTGTACAGATTTTGACACCAAAACCTTTGAGAATTACTTACTGACTTTCTGGGCTCTGGGTTAGGACTCAAGGATGCTGTGAGCAGAAGCAGGACGTGGGGATCAGGGTAAAACAACTTGTGTTCAGACATTGATCCCAGGATACCAGACCGCAGAACTGGGTCCGAAGCAGGGCCCTAAGGATTTCTTTTCCAAGAGTCCATCTCTCCATGACCCAGCCCACCAGATGTACATCACCACCTTTGGGAATTCTTAGAGAAGCCGGCCAGTCAGCCTCCTCCACATCAGACTTATAAAGAGAAGCGATACCGGTCCTGGCTGAGATGCCACTCATCTCGGAGGATGAGGACACCTAGACTCTCTGCCCTTCTGCTGCTGGTGCTGGCCTTGCCGCTGACCCAGAACTGTGCAGGTGGGTGTGGGACCTGAAGGGAAATGACCTCTAGGGAAGCAGGGTGCCACATTGGAAATCCTCATCTTTGCTTCTCCTCCATTGCCTAACCAGACCTTTCTGCTCCCTCATCTGTAGGACACCTGTCCCTCTCCCTTCACCACCCCTGCTCTCTTCCCTTCCCAGTCCACCAGCCAGCCCTGGGCCCAGGTCAGGGTCTCAGTGCGCATCATCCCCAGGCTCACACTGGCTGCAGTTTTTCGACACCGTGGTTTATGGACCGGACATCTGGGAGCCACGGTGCATCTACGTCAGCTACGTTGATACCACACAGGTCCAGGGATTCGATAGCAAAGCAGCGACTGTAAGAGTGCAACCTCGGGCTCCCTGGATGGAGCAGGAGCCGCCTGAGTATTGGTACAATCAAACGGAGGAAGCCCTGTACCAGTCACAGAACGACCGAAAGCTTTTTCGGGTCCTGATGAAGTACTACGGACACAGCAAGGATGGCGGTGAGTCATCCCCGATCTGTGGTCACAACCCCTCCATGTCCAATTAGCTCCACTCCGGATCTCCAGGTCCAGGGTTAAGTCGAGGACTGTGATCCGGGAACAGGGTTAGTTTGGGACAAAATCCCGGGAGGGGGAGAAGCAGCAGTGACTGATAGTTGAACGGGGGCGGGGCAGAATATCACACCCTACAGAAGGTGTATGGCTGCACTGTGGAAAATAATGGGAACTTCCTCCGAGGGCACTATCAAGTCACCTACTATGGCCACGATTACATCGCCCTGAATGAGAACTTGAGCTCCTGGACTGCAGAGGGCAAGGTAGCTCAAATCCTAAAAGGCGTCTGGGTGGAAGAGGCAGAGGCAGAATACTGGAGGACTTACCTGCCGGGGGATTGCGTGAAAATGCTTCGTAGATTCCTGGACCTTGGGAAGGAGACATTGCTGCGCTCTGGTAAGAGGGGCGCTTGCCAACTCCTTCTTCTGAGATTAGAACTCCTGTCTCCTGAGGCCTCCTCCCTCAGCAGGGAGCAGCTGGAGTATTTACACTGTCTTGCATCAAAGGCATAAGACTGCTCCTGAGTTTCCTGACTCAACATAAGAGAGAAACTCTCCAGAGGATTCGCCCTTCCCCCAGGATAGTCCAGGGTGTCAATTAGACAGCCGGTCTCTTCCACAGCCGCACTGCGAATTAGGGCCTCTCTTCAGGCCTGTTCACTGTCCATGCACAATGACACTGAATGTCTGACTCCGGGGTTGCTGAGTTTCTTAAGCCCTCCCCCGCCTCCTCCACCCAGTCAGAACCAGAAGTCAGAAGTCTGTTTACCTAGAGTGAGATTCAGAGCCTTCAGCTCTGTGCTGGCTCACGATCATTCTGAAAATTTCCGAGGAATTCCTCATCCAGATCCCGAGTTTAGGCTGCTGTGTGAGTTCTGCTCCCCTCCACCTCTCCCACCCTTTCGGGGGATGGTCACATAAGCACTGCTCGATCCCCAGGAGGAATGCCTGAATTCTCCAATTGCTCCCCTCAGACCCTCCCCAAACATATGTGACCCGTCAAGTTAGACCCGGAGGGAATGTCACCCTGAAGTGCTGGGCCCTGAATTTCTACCCTGCTGACATCACCCTGACCTGGCAGAGAGATGGGAACAACCACACCCAGGATATGGAGGTGATAGAGACCAGGCCTGCAGGAGATGGAACCTTCCAGAAGTGGGCAGCTGTGGTGGTTCCTTCTGGAGAGGAGCTGAGATACACATGCCATGTGAACCATGAGGGGTTCCCTGAGCCCCTGATCCTGACATGGGGTAAGGAGTGGGTGTGGTGAGCAAGAGTCTGTTGTCAGGGAATGAAGAACCAGGGTGGGATCAGGGTTGAGAGCGAGGGTCAGAGCCCTCACTCTTTCTTCCTCTCGTTCACCAGAACCTCCTCCACCAAACTTCTTCCTCATGGCGATTCTTACTGGCCTGGTTCTTGGAGCTTTGGTTATGGGAGCTGTGGTGATTTTTCTGACATGGAAGAAATAGAGGTAAGGAAGGGGCAGGGTTTAAGTTCTTGTCTCCCTAAGGACTTCAAGCCCAAGCTATGAATGCACCTGTCCCATAAGAGCAAAGTTGTATCCACGTACAGGGGCCTCTATGCTGACGTTAACTCTGTTATAAAGCATAAAGGAAATAATGAACAGACCCATCACCCTCTTGTTAGAGACCTGATTCTGGTTCCCCACAGACAGATGTCACAGAAAAGGCCCCTGCTGAGAACACAGGAGGCCAGTTAGCCCTCTGTGTGTACAGTCTTCCATTGTGCCTCCTCCTCCTCCTACGGAGCTGCAGTCACAGTTCTAGAAAGGTCCCTAGGATTGGACTAGGAGTTTCCTCCCACACTCATGACTCTACGGCGTCCCTGGTCTGTTGTAGGAGGGTGCTTGTTTGTTCCTGGCTGCTCAGCCCTAAGATAAACACACAGAAGCCACATTATTTGTAATGCTGTTTGGCCAATAGCTTAAACGTATTTCTGGCTAACTCATATCTTAAATTAACCCATCTCCATTAATCTGTGCATCGCCACAAGGCTGTGGCTTATCAGGTAAAATTCCGGCGTCTGTTTCCAGTGGGGCTACATGGCGTCTCACTGACTCTGCCGTCTTTCTCCCAGCATTCAGTTTAGTTTTCCCCACCTACCTCTATTCTGCCCTGCCAAGTCTAAGACAGATTCTTTATTAACCAATGGTATTCACAGCATACAGCAGGGAATCCCACATCACAGGTCTGTCACTGGTTGGTTCTTCCCACAGGTGGGAAAGAGGCAGCTATATTTTGACTGCCAGTAATTAGTGGAAGGTGGTTCCTGAGACCCTTGCAATAGAGTAGACAGATACCCATGGGGGCGTGGCTCACACATTTCTCTCTTGGCCCTATTGGTGTGGGCTCCTAACAGGTCTTATTCTGTACTGCTTTAGGCAGGGACAGCGTCCAGGGATCTGATTAGGACAGGAAGTACCCTGAGAACAAATTTCTGAGCTGTGGTGACTCTCTTTCTGGGATCCGTGTAGTACGGCTGCCTAGTCAGTCTCACAACTTCACAATCTTAACTCAGAATTTGTTCTTAACCACTTTCTCCTAAAGTGTGAGACACCCACCTCGTGTGACTTCAAAAGCTCCTGACTTTTCTTTCCACAACTGACACCCATGTCCAAGCATATGTCTCCCGTGAGCACGCCATGAGGAATTGAGCAGACCTGAGCGTGTCTCCTCTCCACACTGACATGTGCCTTCCCCAGTCATCTCTCCTGATTCAGGAGAGGAAGGCCTGGAAACCTCCATCAGAGACCGAATTTAGTTTCCAATGAGCTACAAGTATATTCTTCCTTCTTGAAAATAAGGATGTGGCTATTTTGCTAATTTTGTTTGGTAAATTTTTCCCATGGTTCGCTTAATGGATAAACCCAGTCACAGAAAGGTGACAGAAATAGTAACTGTCTTGAGAAGCTGAAATCCACCTTTCGATCTCTTGTCCTTTTCTAGGTGTCTCTCCTTCTCGTCAGCCTCGTGTTTAAATATGTTAATGCCTCCTCCTAATAAACTTGAACTTTGCTTCATATTGGTAGTTCTTAAATTCTTTTTTTTTTTTTTTTAAAGTCAGGAATCTTATCTTTGCCTGAGGAGTAGAGGTCTCTGAACAAAACTCCTCGGCTGCCACACATGCAGCATGAAGCTGTCTTTACCTGCATCAAACAGCCCCTGCCATTGTTCCTGCTGGTGACAAGAGGCCTCCCTGAAGCGGTGCTGGTCAGCTCCCTCGACGGCCACTGAGCTGATCCACTCTACTCTCTGCTTTGCACGTCACCCATGTTCCGTCACCTTTATTAGCCAAAGACCAGCATCATGGTTTCTTTAGTTTTATGGGTGTTTTACCTGCATGTAAGCAAGTGTGTATACTATTTGCATGCCTACTGCCCATAGATGCTAGAAGAGGGCCTCAGGTCCCTGGGAACTTGGGTTACAGACAGCTGTGAGATGTTTTGGAGACATTAAGAACCACACTCAGGCCCCCTGGAACAAAAGTCAGTGCTTTTAGCTGTTGAGCCTTCTGTACAGCCTCAAGGCCCACACAGTGTTTAATGACCAATCCTGTGCCAACAATTCCCTTAGAGCCGTTCACACCCCATACTTGGGTCATATGGAACAACACACTGACTTCCAGGAAGACATCCACTGGATGCCCTAAGTCATTCCTTTTGCCTCAAGAGACCTTGCTGAGACCTGAGACAAAATTGAGATGAACTGATTCTGCAGTCACGTCTAGAGGAGAAAACTTTGTTAAGCAGAACATTCTAGATTCAAAATATGGTAAGAATTGCTGATTCTTGAGCTGGAGGGATGTCTCTGTGGTTAAGTACAGTGATTGCTCTTCTGGAGGACTGGGTTCAGTTCCCAGCACCTACATGCTGGCTAACAACCATCTGTAACCTCAGTTGCAAGGGATCCAACGACCTCTTCAAGTCCCCTCAAGCACTGAACACATGCGATGTAAAGACACATATACAGGCTAAACACCTATATCCATAAAATGAATTTTTGAAAACTTGGTGATTCTATGTATGACATGCTCCAGTATCTTGATTCTCTTTCCTATTTTTTGTTCGAGACAAGGTTTCTCTGTAGCTTTGAAGCCTGTCCTGGAATTAAACCAGGCTGGCCTTGAACTCACAAAGATCCTTCTGCCTCTGCCTCCTGAGTGCTGGGATTAAAGATGTGTGTCACCACTGCCCGGCTCTCACCGCACTTTTTCAACTGACAAAGGGCTGACAAAAAGTCCACGTCCCTCCCTGCTCCTTCCTGTGCCTTTCTATCTGTATCCTAGGTCTTCCTAGTCTCTATGACTAATTCTTATCAAATAGTTGCTGACTCCACCCCCTGATCCAAGGTTAACTTTATCAACACAGTCTCAGGATGTCAAAGTACAATCAAATATTCCACAGCATTTCTCCCTTTTTGTCTAAATAAAAAGGGAATGTATTGACTCTAACACATTAAAACTACAAACAATAAGAACAATTATCAGGTGAGAATTACATTCACAATGTTCACTCCATTTGTATTTGGAAAAACCAGAGAAAAATACTTTATTATCTATCCTATGTTGTGCTGCACACTGTACCTTGCATGTTGGTACTGCAGCATGCAGGACCCAATGCCAAGCAAGAATAATGAAGGCAGTTCTCCTCCAACAGCCTAATGTTTGGGTTCAAAGTCAGGGTCTTGTGCATATCAGAAAACCTCGGAACATTCTGCTACTGGGCCACATCTCCAGATATGTATCATATGTAATGTATCTTATCTGTCAATATAAGTTGAATATATATTCAATTGTGAAATGTAATATTGGGAGATAAATGCAATTATATCTCTTCCATGGAACAAAGCTCAATAGAAGGATGGAAATGGCTCTTCATTTAGTATAATATAAACCTCAAATGCTCCTGTGTCTCTAGAACCCCTCCTCAGACTGATGCACACTCGGGTGCACACTATAGAGTAAAAATTATAGTAACTGCAAATATTAAGGGAGGCTTACAGACACAGATGTGCACATTATTGACCTTCACTTTATTTGACGTAACATATAGATTTGCATATGAAGCTGGCCACAGAGCCAGAAAGAGAATCAACACTCACTCCTCACTTCAAGTCCAAGGTAGAATTCATGAACCCCGTCTAAATAAATATTAATACACTTTATTTTACTGTGGTACCGAAGATGAGTATCCACAGTTATCTGATAACAGCATTAAAATATTCCGCCTTCATATTTGGATAAGGCAAGCTGATTCATACTCAACAGGAAGAGCAGGCTAAATGCAAAGTATATATGAAAATCCATCGTCTTTACTGAAACAGATTAAGGAAAAGACTTGCAAACACACAAAGTGCAAAAAGACCCACACTTCAGACCGTTCATTTGGGAAATGATTATTTCTCATAAGATTTTATTTTGTCAACGCAGTGGATTTGTTAATATCTAAATAACTGAATACATTTTAAAAGGTTTAGCTTCTAATATTATTTACACATATAACTCACAAAAACATGTTTTCCTTGGTGAAACTTATTAAATCTTATGAGCACATGGAGATCCTGAGACCAGGAAGTCTGAGAACAGCTGACCAAGACAACTCTTGAACTGGAGTCAGAGAGACAACATGGCGAAGCTCTTGGTGCTGGAAGAGGGAAGTAAAGTTAAGGGCCCAGGTCCCTGGTCAGGAGGGCAGTTGGCTAGGACGCCAAGCCCTGGAAATTTCCCATCTCCTGCAAGTTTCACTTCCTGGTCTCCTAAACTGTGTCAGATTCTTCTGCCTAGACACTTATGACGCGATGGTAATTCCCGCTCCCATTGGGTATCCGGTTTCTGCGGATGCCAGTACGAGATTCCGGGTTCTAAAAACCCGCGCAGAGCTCCTATGTTCCCCAGATCTCTAAATATGAACGATGGCGCTGCGCACGCTGCTCCTGCTGCTGGCGGCCGCCCTGGCCCCGACCCAGACCCGCGCGGGTGAGTGCGGGGTCGGGAGGGAAATGGGCTCTGCGGGGAGGGCGGGGGCGGCACCGGGGAAGCCGAGTCCCCGCGTGGCCCAGCCGGACCCTCCCGCCCCTTCTCCACCCGCATCTCGAGCCCCTCTCCCCTCTCGGCCCCCACACCAGCTCCGGATCCTGAAAGGAAGGTGGAGCCGCCGTCAGCTCCTTGCTTCTTCTAGGCTCATATTCGCACTCACTGCGTTATTTCGGCACTGCTATGACCCAACCGGGACACAGGGAACCGCGGTTCGTCGCCTTCGGGTTCGTGGACGACACGCGGTTTGTGTGGTTCGACAGTGATGCGATGACCCCTAGAGAGGAGCCTCGGGCGCCTTGGATGGAGGAGAAACGGCCCGAGTACTGGGAGCGGCAGACTCGGATCGCCAAGGCTAACGCGCAGATTTTCCGTGAAAATCTGAGGACCCTGCTGCGCCACTACAACCAGAGCGAAG